TCAAACTATTCATCATAAAATTTTTAACGAAAACTGTCGAAAAAAAATTCTACGCGACAACAACCTTAAGGCCCGGGTGGACTATCTATCGAACGTTGATTTTTGTTTAAATTTCATCTTTTTAACCTAAAATACATTAAAATTTGGGATCAATTTTGTGTTGCGGGAAGCACTTGAATGGACATGAAAAAATAATGAAAAAAAAAGAGAAAAAATTATTGAAGGGCGCTAAAGATCGATATTATTTAAAAGGGATTTACCAAGTTTGCTAAAAAATAATAAAAAATACGTAGCTTACTATTGCATCTAGCTGTCACTCAATCTTCTGGAGAGTAATGGTAAGCTGCGTAATTTTTATTATTTTTTTGTAAACTTGGTAGATCTCTTTTAACCAATATCGTTCTTTAGCGCTCTTCAATAATTCTTCCTCTTTTTTTTCATTATTTTTTTATAACCATTCCCAAACTTTTATTTATTTTAGGCTAAAAAGATAAAATTCAAACAAAAGATGACATTGGAAAGATAGTCCACCCGGGCCTTAATAAAATTTCTACCGACAAAAATCCTAATAAACTATACGTCTATCAGATTTTCATTTCGGACAATTATTCACCTGCTCAGTTTTCCAGACATCTCAAAATGAATTAACTCGCTGTGGAATAAATCTATCAATTTTTTAATTTTTTATCTTAAAGATATCGTCTTGTAGATCTTTACTAGATAACGATTTCGATGCTATCTATCGCTGATTGCACAAACTACAAGCTGTAATCTCCAATATTTACCCCCCAAATACCCAATACTATCAATTTTTCCTGAGTTTCACGATGACGTGAGCAGAATACCTCCAATCCTGAAAAAAACATGCTGAAAATGAAATCCAACAACCAAAAAAGCGAGTCCGTTACGAGCTACCAGTCATGATTAATCAAGTGCAGTGGTTACAACAATGTGAGTGTTAACCTCAAAAGAAGGACTCGATCAAAATTTTAACGATCAAAATGAACAAATCTCGAAGTGCCCTGGACAAGAAATTGTACAACCTGCCAAATTGGTTATGGTCTGGCACCAACGGACTTCCCCAGTTCTACAAAATGATCTGGGAAGCAGTAAGAGAAGACAGACCGACACTGGGTGTGAGTCAGGGTGAGCTTTTGGTTGACACAAATCGTGTTTTTCCCCTCCTCCTGACAAGCCAATTGCCAACTGAAGTTTTGGGTTACATATGGAGCTTGGCAAATCAAAAATACTCTGGTCAGCTGACTGAGCTGGAGCTCTACATAGTTTTGGCACTGATAGCAGTTGCCCAAACGTCCTATCCCTTCACGAATCTGGATGTTCTCCACATGTTGCCTGGACCCCCAACTCCAAGACTAAACCTGAGCTTTTTGTACCCCAATCAGCCTCAGATGCAATCAGGATCACAGGGTCATGCCCAAACCCCCACATCCCCGAGGTCGACATCGCAGGGCAAATCAAACCCTCAAGCTGGATCGAAAACGTATCAAGTGTCAAGTCTCCAATCACCTCAGACCTCGATTACTTCAAACCCACAGACATCGTTTTCTTCGAGAACTGGGAACTCCCAAATTCCGGGCTCCCATTCAGGATCAAAATCTTATCAGATTGCAATCTCACAGAGTCAATCAATACCAGTCCAATCCCATCAGGTTCCAGCTGCTGGATCAAGTCTACAAGCAGGAGCCAGACCACAGAATTTGCAGATCCATAATTCACACAGGACTTATGACTCAAACCTGCAGGTCCAGTCATTGCCAGGGCCTGTCCAATCGACCCAGACATCAATCATATCATCTACATCTTTTCCAAAAGCTCAGGGTAATGGATCTCAAAATTCACAGGGTCAATCTCCAATTCAGATATACGAGACAATCGTTCCCTCGTCGATAATCAATAGTTCGTTTATTTCAGAGAGTAAACTTTCTGTTTCACACAAGAGTTCATCGGACACTTCATCAGACCTCAGTGATGATTTCACTGATTTTCAGAGCGCTCCATTACCACAGCCATCTCTCCCCAATCTGGATCCAAAGCAGGGATCAGCTATTGGTTCTAGATTGGCCAATCATAATTTGAGTGGTGGTTCGATTAAAAAACTTGGTGAGAAGAGTAAAAAATCAGCGCTCAAGCCCAAAGCTAATTGCTCGGGCAAGGAGATATCGTCTGATGCTTTTGGGGGTATTTTTCCAAAATGCATGGTGAAGAATCAGACGAAAACTGTTGTCCTCAAGGACACGGTGATTAGGAATAGCGAGCCACCGAAAACTATTGGGACTAAACGAGAATCGTCAGCTGATCAGAAACAATCGAAGGAGCTCTCAGGATTGGATCTCATGAATCTTCACTCTGTGGAGGATAAATATAGCGCCTTGAGAATTCTTGTGGAGACTCCACCACCCACTCCTGTGGAGAAGATTCAGGAAGTCCCAGAGTCAGGGAGTCCGGAGAGTTTAGAGCATGAGGAAGAACAGTTTGATGATTTTGGGGACTTCGTTTCCGCTGAACAGACGGATTTGACTAGTGGCTTCAGTCAATCTGTTCTCGACGCTTCAATGGACCTTTTCTCGGATTTCGAACAATTTCTTCCCAATTCTTCTGGGGATAAGGAAGAAATTTCGTTTGCACAGGAAACTATTGAGGCTCTGGCACAGTTGGAAATCACTGCCAGTCCGGAGAAGACGATTGATTTTCTGGAGGAGAAGTATGAGACTATCATGGATCCTGGTGAGCACTTTTTCTGTTTATTTTTGGGAGAATAGTCAAGGAAATAATTAATAATCAATTTTCATCAGACCTAATAACAAAAATTATTTATAAATGTTTTAGTATTCTCAATTTTTCATATTCTCACGTTCCAAAATGGCAATTGTTATTGCAAATAGAATCAAAAAATGTTCCACCTCATTTATATTATATGTTCATTTATGGAAAATAGAATTTATTTTAATGTCGAATCATCTATGAAAGTTCTCATTCTTCTTGGAAATTATTAAAAATTGAGTTATATAATTACAATAAATTTTTTTATTTCAGAAAAAGTCATCCAAAAAGAGGACACGATATCAATAAATAGTATAGAATTAGCAAATGGGCCAGGAGTTTTAACACGTTCTGGATCTGTTCCTAGTCTAGATCTCAAATCATTTTTGCCTTCTAATGGTGACGAAGAAAAGGAAACGGAGAGCATGCATCAGGTAACTAAAGAAAATTTTTAAAACAAAAATCTATTACAGAATTTCTGATCGGAATAATATTTGTTTCAAATTACTGAGAATAGTTGATAAGACTTCGATCTTGGCAAAGGTTTTTATCAAATTATTCTCATCAGATGGTCGAAGAGATGAATTAGCAATTGAAATAAAAATAAATGGGAGATTATCTTTTCTGTCACTCGACATATTGAAAATTGAAATATTTTCACAGTACGAATTTTGGGCAATCTATACATTTATCCAATTGTTATTGCTATTATTAACATTATCCAATTCTGTCGAAAGAAAGAATCGAACCAAATTTTTTTAGCCAATATTGAAGTCTTTCATCGTCTTTCTTCTTCAGTCATCGTGAAAACCCTGATTTTTTTAAAAACTAAAAACAAAAAAATATAATTAAATTTTAATTGCTATTGATAACCAGGGTCCGACAATACTTGCGCGTAAAAGAAAATATGAAAAGCAAAAATATCCACTCGAAATCAATTGAAAAAAATTAACAAGATAAAAATGATTCACTAAAATTAATAAATAATTAATCAATTCAAGTTGAAGACATTGAAGTATTTTTTTTATATTATAGCTTTCATATATTTTCGACAAAAAATCTTCAAACATTTTTTTTAAAACTGAATAGTTTAATTGATTATTAACAGAATTGAAAAAAATTTGTTTTTACGTTCCAGTTGATTTATTGGGAGTGGAAACAATACATGGAGAGTTGTATTCTTCTCTTACAAGTGGCGGTGAATATTTTCACCAGTATAAATTCAGAAGCAGTTCTCCAGGAAGTTTTGAATTCCGCCCAAGGGTATAATTTCCTATGCAATTTAGCAGAGGTTGCAGCTGTATGCAGACGCGTGAATTTCTCACACAAGGAGATGGATATCAATATCATGGGTTTCGACGATTTATTGTTGGATATCGATAGAATTTGGGCGGAAATGGAACCTTTCTATGTCAACATTCCAGTAAGTTCACTAATTATTATTCTTTCAACTCGTCCAATGATTATTTTTGGGAATGTCTAGCGTGTGTTTCATTATTTTTTACGCAAGACTCTCTTTCTCTGTCAATTCTCCAATTTTTTTCTCTCTTTCGTTCTCTACGAACAAATTGAGTGAATAAAACACTTCGTATTATTCAGAATAATTTGTATATTCATCCCAACTCACAATTATTAAACCATTTTTTTTTTGTAAAGCAAGAAATTATTCTCTTCTTGGAAATTTCGATCGGTCAAGACGCGTTCACTATTGAAAAATTGAGGAAATTAAATTGTCGAGGAATATATGCTGTGAATATTTTGAAACACATTTTAATTGTTATCTTCTTATAATTTTTTATATAAACTAATTAGTTTGATGTTGATGAAACAATCTAATATTCTACATTTTTTCTCTAATTTTTATTACCTTTTTGCTACTTTGGACCACATATGCGATGATTGTTTATTTGAAAAGGAAATACAGGATAGTAAAACCGTTTTTCAAAACGTGATATATGAAATTCGATGCATTATCATCGATAACTTTTGATCAAGTCGATGGAATGAAAAAAATCAAAGAGCATTATAAAGAGATCGTTGAAGATTTCAAATTGCGTACAATATATTCCCATGAATGACATCGGATACTGCGATAATTAGCAAGAAATGGAGATTTCAGAGCGTGATATAAGAGTGAAAAATATAAAAAACTTTAGTAACTCTAGAAGAACGCAATTAAATTTGATAGAACATCAATAAGAAAGGAAGAGAGAAACTATCTCAAAAATCGAAGGAAAAGAAATGGACACGGATTGTTTATTAATAGAGTAGAAATATTTAATTAATTATAGCAGCTAAGGAAATAATTCGTAATTATTATTCCATTCCATTCCGAGTATTTTTAATATTTTGAGAGTCTGTGGGATAAACAAAAAATTAAAAAACAATTTTTTGCATTATTTATGCTTTCAAACAGAGAAAATCAATTGTTAATTTATGAAGAATAATTAATATCAAACGGAAAAGTAGGAAATAGATTAAGAGTTAGGGAAATTGAAGAAAAATTATGAAAAAATCGATGTTTTTTAAATTTTTTTCTCCGGCGCTGTCGTTCACCCATTTGAATAACAGCCTTTTCGAAAATATTCCCATTGTTTTTTAACTAATTACAAAGAGACTGGAATCGAGTGTTTTTGTCATATGTCATACGTATATCAGAAACGATCTCAAAGACTGTCGGGTGCACGTTTAGTCGCCCGAGGTCGTAAAATTGAAATTGAAGTGAATATATTTTTCTCTCTGATCTGTCACTTCATGCTATTTCCAGGGAAAAACTAGTTACCGAGATTGTTACCGATGCATTCCCGTAATAAGCTTCTGTTCAGGAACGGAAGAATTGACAATGTGAATTCAACATTATTAATCTTCTCTGCAATCGACAGAGAAAATTCATTGCATGAAAATGCATCCCTACCTTTCAGAATGTTTTACAATTCCCATTGAATCTGATTTTTCATTTCCAACAGAAATACAATTATAATATAATTATATTTCTATATTTTTCTATATATTTTCTATAATTTTTTCAATTAGTAATTATATTTAGAGTGCAGAGTAATTTTTTATTTAAATTCCTGTAGTCACAATTAAGTTTTTCTCGGATCACAGAATGATTATCTAAAATGATTAGTGCCTCGTTGAAAATCATTTAATTATTATCAGATTTAATTGCAAATTGATGTTTCTTAAAAAATTCATTTTTTTTGTTTAACGACGTTATAAATTTAATATAAAAAATATGAGTAAAGCCCAGCTAATTAGAATTTTTAGCCCATTCGATGATGTGCATTACAATAAGTCTTTTTTTGGTATTATTTCCGTTTTTTATTTTTATAAAATGCCCCTTGGCAGTCCATCAATTGATTAATTGCTAAATACTTAATTTATCTGTTTATATTTGTTTAACATCGACAAATATTAAAAATTAAGAAAGGAATAATTTTTTAATAGATCTCCATCTGACGCTGGCATTTTGAAAATGGGAGACACGAAATAAGAATTATAGAAAAACTGTTTAATATCAATTTTTTAATAACATTAAACGGTTTAGATTTAATTACATACAAAGTAGTGAAGATTTACATATAATTGATTGCATATAAACTAGTGCAGAAAGGCAAATGTAAAGGGAACGGATTTGAATCGTTAATGCTTTTATCTTAATAATTTTCAGATCGTCACGGAATTACCTGTATGGCCTCTGCACCCAGGGGAACCCAACACATGTGCTCTTTGTCTCACAGTAGTAACAAGTGGTAGAATAATATACAATGAAAATACGTATCACGCTACGTGTGCGAATCTCTGGTTAAACTGCGTGAACAGCAATTTACCAGCTCTCAAATATCCTCTTCAAAATCACGCTGTTTCTGCCGGAGGCAATTAGATCTGATTTTTATTTAGTTTTACTCCACTGTATTTTTTTTTCCTAATTTTTTCTGTTTTTGTTTTTTTTTATATGTATATTTGTGTCGAAACTAAATTTTTCGTTGGAATTATATCAATTGAAGAATTAATTATGTATTCTGTCGATTAATCTCTTTTTTTTAGTTTTGTGGTTGAAAAATCTTGTTATAAAGTGGAGCAGAGGTAAGTCTTCAATTGAAAATGTTTGAAAGAAGTTGGAGAACATTTTTTTATAATTGCTCTTTAAATCCCACATTAGTTGAATTATTTTCTATATAGGCTCTGATTAAAATGGATCTCATATTAAAAAATGTTTGTATCATCGATCAAAATCAGGGGAAAATCTTTGCATTTAAAAGAGAATCCAAAATATCAAAGTAATCTGGCGTTTTTGGCTTCTTGCGAATTTTTTTTAACGTTTCTGATTTCAAACACTAGCTTTTATTTAGCGCCAATTTCATCCTAGATTTTCAAACATTTTGCAATTGTATGATTATTCAAGCCCCTCAATTTCAAAATTCGAATTACGCTCTTGTGGATGAGTTTTATTTGGCGCTACAATATTTTTTCATACATTACTCTCAAAAAATCAATTCCACTCTTCAATGATTGTAGAGAAATTTGAGAGAATTCTATGAGAAATAAATTTTTGAGTGAGAAAAACCAAGTCTCCGAGAGTGTAAACAATGACTTCGATTCATTCAGTAAAATAGATAAAAGAATAATCTTCTTTGACCATGATAATTCAAAAAACCTTAAATATTCATAATTTTTCTCAAATTTTTCAAGCGCAATTGAATTTAAAAATTCCATAATCGAAAATTTAAAAGTCAATACTATTAATTATTCTTTTTACTTGTCTCAAGTCAGTTAGTAGAGAGGCTAGCGTCAAATTTTAATTGATTATTTAAATGGGAAGGAATACTTTTTCTGATATTAAATGATGATGAATGTGTTATTGTTATTAATATATTATCCTAGAGTTTCTTACTGTCGTCTGTTGTACCATTTGAATTACTACAATATTTCACAATGATTTATCCAAATTTCATTCCACGTTCGCACAAATATCTTCAAAAGGCCCCGATCACTTTACCCTGTGTTGAAACTCATTTTAAAAAATATAAATCAAGTACAATTGAGTCCAATGTTGTTCTTTATGTGTTGTTTTATCTCTGCGATGTGTCTCTAGGTCTGTAGATTATTCCTCGACTCTTCATATCTCTTATTATGTTTGGAGGTAATCGTCCGGAAACTGAAATGGCGTAAACTCCTTTCGTGAACCGATCTGTTGATAAAAAACCTTGATATTAGAAATTTACAAATTTTTCTGGGAATGGACTGACAATTAAATTTTGATAGTTCAATTCAATGCTAAAATAAAAAATTCAAATTTAGGTGAATAATTTTTTTAAACGTGAATAATTTCATTTTTTCGTGGTTTTTTCACTATTTTTCATAAACAAAAATTACTAATTGGTTATTCCATATGCGTGCGCAGTTTCATGACTTCGACTGCATTTTTCCTTTATTTTTACATCTTTTTAAGAGTTTTTGGTGGCTCCAGTAAGAACATGGGTTAGACCACCTGTTGTCAACCTTATAATAAATTAACTTAAATCAACAGTCTCAAATCGCGCACACCATGTATCAATAGCTTAAAGATTTCACGAGGAAGAAATGAAAAAATTCGCTGAATTTGTTCTCAACCTTTTGCCATGCTCGATTATTTAAATCTCTTAGCTATTAATTATTTTCTTACTTCAAGCAAAGTACTAAAAGATTATTAATGAATAAAAAATTCATAGTAATTACACATTCATCTTAAAAGCATAAATAATATAATACCTCATATTATTATTTTAAGGTGTTATAATATTCATTACGTCCCCATTTATTTTTTTCCATTCCTCCGGATATTTCCCGCGCGAAATGAAAAATTTACAGCTCTCACAGTTTTTTAACAATTGGTTTATCAAGGTTAATGAAAAATTCTGCACAGACGATACTTTACTGGAGTCTTCATAAAAAAAAATGAGTTGAATGAAAAATTTGCTATAAAAATTATAATTTTTCTCCTGGTCAGATTAAATCTTCACGAACACAAGAGAATTCTTCTGACACAAATACTAGAATGTCTGGAAATAAAATTGAATTCACAATGGAGTCGTTGAAAGATCCTGAAGAATGATATCGTTGCTTTAACAGGAAAGGCGCGTAAGTGCCATATTTTCGCGTTTCTTTCAACGCCAAAGAGATATACATCTTCTTTCACTTGGAACTGTATTTTCTACCTCCGTAGAGTATTAACAGCAAAATCTCCAGCGCATACGGCTCTTTTATCTTTCCTGAGGTGAAATAATAACACAATTACGTAATTTAGGTGCATAGACTTCTTTGTTATATGTCACACAAGTTTTAATCATGATAAATGAGTGTAACTCCGGTAACGCGTCCGTTAATTTTTTATAATTTATTATTATTAACTTTGGAGACTGACTATCTGGCAGAAGATAATATTTGCAATTATCAAGTATTATACTATCATTAATTTAGTTATTGCATTTTCATTCTGATTCACGCAGATTTCTACATTTATTCCGGTAATTATCTTTGCTAGGTACTTTTTTTCAATTATTTTAAATTAGTTAGTGGTAATTTGTAATTCTCAACTCTGTAATATATAATGTCAAAGAGACATAATATATTTTGGGTGATTAAAATGAAACTGATCATTACGCCTGTCTATTATTGTTTCCTCTTGCCTAGTTTTTTTTTTTATAAATTCCATGAAATATACAAAGAATAAATATAAAACAGAATATTGGAAATATTGTTTATTCATCTTGTTAAGACGATATGAGTGTAAGATTTTTCTTGAAATCCTAAATTTTGGGGATGATTAATCAGTCAGTGACAATTTCATAATCCACTAAATCAATTCAATACTGAAGAGATATTATGAAAGAGACAGTAGATAATATTATTTATTTTAATGTGGACATACTTATCCTCTGCCATTTGCACACCCAACTGTCCTCTGGACTCATGACTGCAATCATCCTAACAAAAACCAAAAGAAATACGAAAATTACAATTGATTCAATTCCTCGGGAATAATCAGGATATACTGGGGTAATATAGACGCCTGAGGTGAAATGGAGGACCATTAAAAATTCTTCCATTCTTAATTTTTAATATTATTCCACGTTTAAACAAAAATGATAAGATAAATTAAGTTTTTAGTAATTTGTCGATTGATAGACTGTCAAGTGGGATTATCCAAAAATTAAAAACATGTAAATAATTTATAAAAAATGGTTCATACATTGAAAGGCCTATATTGCCTGCACTCCTTTAAAACACCAATTACAATTATAAATAAAATAAAATATTTCAATTATAAATAAAATAATAGATTATAATTTATCGTCAAGACTCACCCATCAAAATTAGAACTGGTGCAATCAAATACATTATCCTTATTATTTTTCAACCTCAAGAATTCGTCACAGTTTTCGCATCCATCTAATTCGAATTGATCGAACGTCTGCATGAAATCCGAGAATAAACGAACATTTTATGAATTATAATCAATGAAAAACATTTTGAAAATATGGAAATGGTGGAAAGAGGTTATATTGTTTACCTTTATTAAAGAACACACCATACAAGCTCGAAGACTTCTTAAATCTTTTGGCACAGTCTCCATTTCTCTTAATTATATTGTTTAAATATATCTCCAACAGGTAAATATATTATTAACAATTATTCGTACGTCTGGGAATGCGAGAAAACTGAGGAGCAAACAATTCTGTGAAAATTGTTTTTGAAGTTTTTCTTTTAGTTTTCAGTGGCGCTAGCTGTGGTCTAGGGTCCCTAGGCCGCATTATATTTGTCAATACTTTTTTAAATGCGGAAGTACAAAAGTGTGTAAAACAAGAATAAATTATTATCCACTAATCACCCATCGAGATTATGATTATTTAATCAAGTTTCTCATTTTTTTACATCGATTTTAATTTTTTTAGTTTTCATACAATAATTGAGTTCCATAATCTATTTTTTTTAATATCCTTGAAATAAATGCAGATAACGAAATTTTTGTAATAACTTTAATTGTTTCTCTTCGATAGCTCTATAGAAAAGATCTTTACAAAAATTTTCGCTATCTTCTTTAATTTTCGAGATACTTACCCATTTCTCTCAAATTGCATTATACTTTCTCCTCTCGAAAAATAAAAGTTCGCGCCATGAAACTCTGAAAAGGTCTTGAAAATTTAATTAAACTATACTTTCGAGGTAGCTCGAATTTTCAATAAAAATGTACTATGAATTCTCAATATTTTTTTTCTATATGCGATATTTTTAATTTTTTTATGGCTGTATAGAGTCTATAGTATACTATAGAGCAGTAGCTCTAGTGCTTAATTAAAAAAAGGTGATATTCACAAAAAAAAAGCCGAAGAGGTGAGTTATCTCCACTTCACTACAGAATTTATGAGCAGGATTTTTAATAAATTCCAGGTTGTTCCATTCATTCATCACATACTTTTTATTTTTTTACAAATTCGCTTTCACGTCCTTGCTTACGCTAAAAAAAATATATGTTGACCACATGTTCGTTGAATGGAGAGAAAAATTCGGACTGCTCATTTGGCATTTCTCTTCGAAATAATGACTGCATTTTAATGACTATCCTACGTCTGCCAATAATGAAAATTTTTTGTAGAAATATCTTTTCTTAAAAAAATACGAAATTTCGAAAAAATTGATAACCAATGAATGCAGTCATTAATCCATAAATATAAATAAAATAATAATTAAATCACGGAATGGCAATCACAATCATCTGTTGATAGTTTATTGATTGATTTTTTTTCACAATGTAATTTTTTACAGCCACACTGCCGATGCACCAGCCCCGACGGTCCGAATTTATGAGTATTTCTTCCTTATCGGGAAAAAAACATTATGAAGCTCTCCGAAGACACTAAAAAAGCCCCAGAGACCACTTTAAATTGTATAACTTTCAAGACTCAATAGAGTATCGCTTTAAAATTCTCTGCGGAAAAAAAATCGGGTTTTAAAGTTTATAGCTGATCGTAGTCTCGGCTCTTATTCTCTCGCCTGAGACTTCCCGCAACTTTCCTGCAACAAATACTTTTGTACCCAAAAAAACTACCACTAAACGATTGAATAAAACAACATTCTGATTTAGTTATAGAACTACGTCTTCTAGTGTTTAAAAGGCGGACACCAAAAAACGTAAAGTCAAATTATCTTTAGGAATTAGTTACTTTCAGGCCTAGGCGTGGAAACCAGATCGGTAATGGAGGAATTGGTAAGAATATGACCTTCAGCAAATTTTAGAGATGGTGAAGATGCTTTTTAAGGAAGAAGTCATCCATTTTACCCCAGATATTTAGAATTAATAGGAAAAAATAGGGTCTTATTACCTAAATCAATGAAGAAAGGGATACAAAGTCAGAAGTTGAGTCGGGCCCGGGTTAGGGATGTAGGGTTAGGTTTTCTGACTAGAGGAAGATGATCAGATTATCTTATAATCTTCTTTTGCTTCCAAATGGAAGCATTGTAATCGTTCTATTTTTCGATTCCTTAATTTCGTTTGGAAACGATGTAGAATGGTTTGAAACGTAAAAATACGAAGTTTGACCGCCCCGTGTGTATGTGCGGATGTCCATCTGGTGGTCATGTTTTTGAAAATTGTAGAATTAACCGGCTCAAAAAATTCATAAAAATTCGTCATTCCGTCAAATCATAGGTATTAATGACGACTAGCTCTGTGCAAAATTTCAGCTCAATCGATTCAGCCGTTTTTGAGAAATTCTCATTCGCTTGTAGATCTAATTTTTGGAATATCTCAAAAACTATCAAACCGACATGATTCTTTTCTTTTTCAAAGTATTCGTCTTGATGTCAGCTATAACAAGCAATCAAAATATATATACTGCTTGGTTCAAATAAAAAGCTGAGAGATTAAAGGTATTCCATTCGGAAGTCAACCATCAATGAAATTGATCGCAAAATAAAATTAAAAAAATAAATAAATAACATGTGAAGCAAAAATCGTATGTCATCTACCGTTAGGAATGGCCAACTGCTTGTTTTCATTTTTAATGATAATTTTACATCGCCTCCACTCTGTTAGAGTATATGGGGATGATGAAAGACTTCTGTCTCTCAGTCTGAGGAGAGAAACGTTCATCAGAAGATTTGCTGATTTTTTTTATTGACAAGAGAATATTTTCTAGTAAGTCGAGTCTTTTCTCTCACCACAGGGCTGCCTTCAATCTCAGGTAAAATAATTATTTTCGTCAATGAATTACCAAGGTAGAGGCGCATGGACCCAATATTATATATTCCGTGGAGAAATCCTGAAAGCCCATGGTAGTAGTGTACGTGCGGTTATGAATGCTTATGAAAAGCATGTGTCCACATGTTGTCAGAAGTTATACTGTTTTGCCTCTGCGTACTGGTAAAGTACCACTTATCTAGACTAAATTCCGTAATTTTATTTCCCACCGGGAGGCGGAAAAGAAAATTTAACGGAAGTCTTCGAATCGAATTGACGTGTTAAATTAGAAGCGTTGACGTACGTTGGAGAAATGGTCAATCTCTTAAAAAAAAATACATATTTGTCCAAAAGAAATGGTTCAAGAGTTATCTCTTGTCTTTGCTTCTTCGATTTTTATTGTCTGGCAACATTATGAAACCGGAAGAAATGGTGTTTTGGAAAAATGCGTCAATGTGTAAAAGTATATGTGTCTAAATCTCAAGAACTATCTTCAGAACTCGAGAGTAATAAACGTTGAAATTCTCAAAAGTAAATTGATTATCGGTATCACTGATAGTCAGCTTCGTATCAAATTTGAGCTCGATCGATGAAGAAATTCCAGAGATTCAACGATTTCATAAAAATCGTTATTCACCGGTACTTTCTTTGGGACACGATCGATTCTGGTATTTTTTTTCGAAACACTCGTTGTATAATGAATTCCAATCACTTGTCATATCCACGCAGCAAAACCCGACGGTTTGCTGTAATTTATCGCTAAACAGATGTTTTTATGACAATGTGTTCGGTTCTGATCGATATTTGTTCAGTGATGTTTTCTTATTTCTTCAACGTTCACTGTAATCGTTATCGGGTATGATAATTTTAAAAATCATTGCGGTAGAAAGTGGCATGCCTTTACGTTTTATGACGATAAAGCTTGAGATCATAGATGAATCTAATTTAACAATTAGTTTCGGAGATAAAAGTTTGTAATTGGAACTCTTCTGATGAGAATCTCGAAAACAACTAGTCCGATTCCATTTTTTTTTCATAGGTTCAATGTATGTAAGAAAAATTAATCAAATATGTGTTATACATAATGTACACAATATGTGTTATACAGTAACTTTACACGGAACAAAGGTTTGCGAATTCGTACTAGATACTTCCCAAACTCGAAAACGTAAGGATAATTGCGAGCGCTGGCCGGGTTAGAAAAAATGCAGCCAATATTTCCATTTTTTTCTGGTGATATCGTTAAAATATTGAGAAGCAGTGTACGAAATTTGGGACTGATTCAGAGCGCGGTTGATTTGGTATAACACTTTGAAAACAAATCATTTTCTTATCAGAGTGCTTAAACCTTTGAAAAGAGGTGAAAATGAAGGAAAAAATGCAGCCAAAATCATGAAACTCCGTACACATACGGGGTAGCCAATTATTGATTTTTGAGCAAAAAATGGAGTCGATCGCGAGCGTTGTTTCTGAGAAATTCTGAAAAACCACGAAAAAAATATAATTTTATCACCCGTTAGTCTGAATTTTCGCTTCAAACGAGCGAAAATTTGTCGCTTAGTCGTTGGCTCCTTGTATGAAAACAATAAATTTTCCTACCCCTCACGTATATTTCATCCGCGCCCTTAAAAGGCACCACAGAAAAATATTATCCGAGCTGTTGAGATAGGGTTTTCGTTAACTCCTGCGGTTGGCCAGTCCTTCCAATTTCACATGAGTAAAAAATCCCATCCCAACAGCTCGGAAATATACTAGGGTACCAAAGACTGTATTGCGGTCGAGTCCACTAAATTGTACCATCGTATATACTATATACCACATATGTAAAACATAAGCACTTGTGTATGCAGTCGAGTTGACCGTAAGATTTGGTAAAACCGACGATCTATAGGGCAAAGCGATCCACTCAAGCATTTAATAAATATGAATAGCATTTTACAAAAATTTATACACAACTAGAATCCAATACATGTTTTAGATAACTGAATATTCAATCATTTCTGTACGACGCTCCATTGCAGCAATCACTTTCCGAGTTTAAACAAGCGCTCAGAGAACTAAAAATTGTGAAGTTTATCAATTCATCATGAGGGAATCTAGCCATTGACGAATGGTGAACTGAATCACCATGTATGGAATTGTTTAAAAAAAAATATTCTGAAAAATATTCTTGTAATTATGTACATTTTTTATAATTTCACTAGATTTTATTTTATTATATATATATAATTTTAGAATTTTGCGATAATTTCCTGCTGTTTCTTCTGGAATCTATAGTCTTTACTGCTAAACTTGTATTTTTAAAAAATTTATTAGTTTCAACTCTCAGATAGTTTTTCTGTTTAAATTTAGAATTCAGAGCGCCTTTTAAAATTAAAAAAAAAAAGATAATTATAATATTTCCCCTCAGAAACAAAAATCTATAATACGAGCTAACTCTAATAATTTTTTAATAGATTACAAATATTTATCATCTATACAAAAAACATGTTTCAACCATTTCTCTGATATTCAAGATT